GACACCTCGTTCTTCTAACCCAAAACCTACCCTGGTGCACACCTCTAACACTATGATATGGCTAAAGTTCCATTGAAAAGAAGTGATTTTTCAAAAGCCTTTCCTGAGTGGCTTCTTATGCACAGCTCAACATTTCTGCCCTTACTAAGCATGTTGCAGCCATAAAAGTCATGCCAGGACACCTCGATCTTCTAACCCTAACCCTACCCTGGGGCACCCCGCTAACCCAAAGCTCGGGGTAAACTTCCATTGCAAAGAAGTAATTTTGAAAAAGCCTTTCTAGAGTTGCTTCTTCTCCACAGCTCAACATTTCTGCCCATTCTAAGCACATTGCAGCAATTAAATTCATGCCAAGAAACCTCGTTTTTCTAACCCTAACCCTAACCTGGTGCACACCCCTAACCCTAACATAGGGTTAAAGGTCCATTGAAAGTAGGGTGATTTGGAAAAGGCCTTCTATAGTAGCTTTTTCTGCACAGCTCACCGTTTCTGCCCATTCTACGCACTTTGCAGCCATAAAATCATGCCTGGACACCTCGTTTTTCTAACCCTAACCCTACTCTGGTGACAACAACTAATCCTATGATAGGTCAAAACTTCCCTTGAAAAGAAGTGATTTTGAAAAAGCCTTTCTTGAGGGGCTTCTTCTGCACAGCTCAACATATCTGCCCATTCTAAGCACGTTGCAGCCAATAAACTCATGCTAAGACACCTCATTTTTCTAACCCTAACCCTAACCTGGTGCACACCCCTAACCCTAATATAGGGTTAAAGTTCCTTGGAAAGTAGGGTGATTTGGAAAAGGCCTTCTATAGTAGCTTTTTCTGCACAGCTCAACATTTCTGCCCATTCTAAGCATGTTGCAGACATCAAAGTGATGCCCGGAAACCTTGTTTCTCCAACCCTAACCCTGCCCTGGTTCACACCCCTAACCCAAATATAGGGCTGAATTTCCATTAAAAAGAGTGCGATTCGCAAAAAGCCTATTTGAGTAGGTTGCTCTGCACAGCTCAGCGTTTCTGCCCATTCTAAGCAAGTTGCAGCCATCAAAATCATGCCTGGACATCTCGTTTTCCTAACCCTACCCTGGGGCACACCCTTAACCCTAATATGGGGCTTAAGATCCATTGAAAAGAGGTGACTTTTAGGAAGCCTTCTTGATTAGCTTGCTCTGCACAGATCAGCGTTTCTGCCCATTCTAAGCCTGTTGCAGCCATCAAAAGAAGTGATTTGTCAAAAGCCTTCTTGATTAGCTTTTTCAGCACACCTCAATATTTCTCCCCATTCTAAGCACAATACAAACATCAAAATATTGCCAGGACACCTCGTTCTTCTAACCCTAACCCTAACCTGGTGCGCACCACTAACCCTAATATAAGGTTAAAGTTCCATTGAAAGTAGGATTATTTGGAGAAGGCCTTCTATAGTAGATTTTCTGCACAGCTCAAAGTTTCTGCCCATTCAAAGCGCATTGCAGCCATCCAAATCAGTCCTGGACATCTCGTTTTTCTAACCCTAACCCTACCCTGGTGCACACCCCTAACACTAATATGGGGCTATAGTACCATTGAAAAGAAGTGATTTTTAAAAAGCCTTTTTGAGTAGATTTTTCTACACGGGTCAACTTTTCTGCCCATTCTAAGTACAATGCAAACATGAAAATATTGCCTGGACATCTCGTTCTTCTAACCCTTACCCTACCCTGGTGCAAACCTCTAACCCTTTGATAGGGCTAAAGTTCCATTGAAAGTAGGGTGATTTGGAAAAGGCCTTCTATAGTAGCTTGCTCTGCACAGCTCAGCGTTTCTGGTCATTCTAAGCCCGTTGCAGCCATCAAAATCATGCCTGGACATCTCGTTTTCCTGACCCTAACCGTACCCTGGTGCACACCTCTAACCCTAAGATAGGGTTAAAGATGCATTGAAAGTAGGCAGATTTGGAAAAGGCCTTCTATTGTAGCTTTTTCTGCACAGCTCAGCATTTCTGCCCATTCTAAGCATGCTGCAGCCATCAAAATCATGCCTGGACATCTCATTTTTTTAACCCTAACCCTACGCTGGTGCACACCCCTAACCCTAATATGGGGCTAAAGATCCATTGAAAAGAAGTGACTTTTAAAAAGCCTTCTTGAGTAGCTTTTTCTGCACTGCTCAACGTTTCTGCCCATTCTAGGCATGTTGCAGCCGTCAAAATCCTGCCCGGACAGCTCGTGTTTTTCACCCTAACCCTATGCTGGTGCACACCCCTAACCCTAATATGGGGCTAAAGATCCATTGAAAAGAGGTGATTTTTAAAAAGCCTCCATGAGTAGCTTGCTCTGCACAGATCAGCGTTTCTGCCCATTCTAAGCATGTTGCAGCCATCAAAATCATGCCTGGACATCTCATTTTCCTAACCCTAACCCTACCCTGGTGCACACCTCTAACACTAAGATAGGGCTAAAGTTGCATTGAAAATAAGTGATTTTGAAAAAACCTTTTCTTGAGTGGCTTCTTCTGCACAGCTCAACATTTCTGACAATTCTGAGCACATTGCAGCCATTAAACTTATGCCTGGACATCTCGTTTTTTTAATCCTAACCCTACGCTGGTGCACACCCCTAACCCTAATATGGGGCTAAAGATCCATTGAAAAGAAGTGATTTGTCAAAAGCCTTCTTGATTAGATTTTTCAGCACAGCTCAACATTTCTGCCCATTATAAGCACAATACAAACATCAAAATATTGCCAGGACACCTCGTTCTTCTAACCCTAACCCTAACCTGGTGCACACCCCTAACCCTCATATAGGGTTAAAGTTCCATTGAAAGTAGGGTGATTTGGAAAAGGCCTTCTATACTAGCTTTTTCTGCACAGCTGAATGGTTCTGCCCATTCTAAGTACAATGCAAACATCAAAATGTTGCCAGGACACCTCATTTTTCTAACCCTAACCTGTTGCACACCCTTAACCCTAATATGGGGCTAAAGATCCATTGAAAAGAAGTGACTTTTAAAAAGCCTTCTTGAGTAGCTTGTTCTGCACAGCTCAACGTTTCTGCCCATTCTGAGCACGTTGCAGCCATTAAACTCATGCCAAGACACCTCGTTTTTCTAACCCTATCCCTAACCTTGTGCACACCCCTAACCCTAACATGGGGCTAAAGTTCCATTGAAAAGAAGTGATTTTGAAAAAGCCTTTCCTGAGTGGCTTCTTCTGCACAGATCAACATTTCTGCCCATTCTAAGCACGTTGCAGCAATTAAATTCATGCCAAACCACCTCGTTTTTCTAATCCTAACCCTACCCTGGTGCACACACCTAAGCCTAATATAGGGTTAAATTTCAATTTAAAGTCGGGTGATTTGAAAAAGGCCTTCTATAGTAGCTTTTTCTGCACAGCTCAACTTTTCTGCCTATTCTAACCATGTTTCAGCCATCAAAATCATTCGTGGACATCTAGTTTTTCAAACCCTAATTCTACCCTGGTGCACACCCCTAACCCTAATATGGGGCTAAAGATCCATTGAAAAGAAATGATTTTTAAAAAACCATCTTGAGTAGCTTGTTCTGCACAGCTCAATGCTTCTGCCCATTCTGAGCATGTTGCAGCCATTAAACTCATGCCAAGACACCTCATTTTTCTAACCCTAACCCTAACCTGGTGCACACCCCTAACCCTAAGATAGGGCTAAAGTTCCATTGAAAGTATGGTGATTTGGAAAAGGCCTTCTATAGTAGCTTTTTCTGCACAGCTCTACGTTGCTGCCCGGGCTAAGCACGTTGCAGCCCTCAAAGTCATGCCATGACACCTTGTTTTTGTAACCCTAACCCTGCCCTGGTGCACACCCCTAACCTTCATATAAGGCAGAATTTCCATTGAAAAGAGTGCGATTTTGAAAAGGCCTTTTTGAGTAGGTTTTTTTTTTTTTTTTTGCACTGCTCAACATTTCTGCCCTATTCTAAACACAATGCAAACATCAAAATCTTGCCAAGACACCTCGTTCTTCTAACCCTAACCCTACCCCTGTGCAAACCTCTAACCCTAAGATAGGGCTATAGTACCATTGAAAAGAAGTGATTTTTAAAAAGCCTTCTTGAGTAGCTTTATCTGCACAACTCAACATTTTTGCCCATTCTAAGCACATTGCAGCCATCAAAATCATGACAGGACACCTCATTTTTCTAACCCTAACCCTACCCTGGGGCACACCGCTAAACTTCATATAGGGCTGAATTTCCATTGAAAAGAGTGCGATTTTGAAAAAGCCTTTTTGAGTAGATTTTTCTGCACAGCTCAACTTTTCTGCCCATTCTAAGCACAATGCAAACATCAAAATCTTGCCAGGACACCTTGTTCTTCTAACCCTAACCCTACCCTGGAGCAAACTTCTAACCCTAAGATAGGGCTAAAGTTACATTGAAAAGAAGTTATTTTGAAAAAGCCTTTCTGGAGTGGCTTCTTCTGTACAGCTCAACATTTCTGCCGATTTTGAAAAGGACTTTTTGAGTAGCTTTTTCTGCACAGTTCAACGTTTCTGCCCATTCAAAGCACATTCCAGTCATCAAAATTATGCCAGGACACCTCAGTTTTCTTACCCTAACCCTATCCTGGTGCACACTCCTAACCCTAAAATGGGGCTATAGTTCCATTGAAAAAAATGATTTTGAAAAGCCTCCCGTGAGTAGCTGTTTCTGCACAGCTCAACATTTCTGCCCATTTTATGCACATTGCAGCCATGAAAATCATGCCAGGACACCTCATTTTTCTAACCCTAACCCTACCCTCGTGCATACCACTAACCCTAATATAGGGCTGAAGTTCCATTGAAAAGAGGGAGATTTTGAAAAGGACTTTTTGAGTAGCTTTTTCTGCACATCTCAACATTTCTCGCCAGTCTAAGCACATTGCAGCCTTGAAATTCATGTGAAGACACCTTGTTTTTCTAACCCTAACCCTACCCTGGGGCACACCCCTAACCCTAATATATGGCTAAAGTTCCTTTGAAAAGTATTGATTTTGATAAATCCTTCCTTGAGTAGCTTTTTCTGCACAGCTCAGCATTTCTGCCCATTCTAAGCACGTTGCAGCCATCAAATTCATGCCAAGATGCCTCGTTTTTCTAACCTTAACCCTACCCTGGGGCACACCCCTAACCCTAATGTAGGACTCTGTACGTTCTGTTGGCGCTGTCCCTCCAACGCCACAGAGCGATAAAGACACAAAAGGTGGCTGACGTGGCTGGCTCAGTCAAATTTGTCCAAGAGAAGATTTTTTGGTTGAGCCGCGAGGAAAAAGGGAGGATGCCGCCCAGTAGGTGGAGGAAATTATGGCCGTGGTTGAGTGGGGCGCATGCCCCGATAACGTAATGTCCGTAAATCACTCATACATGTTGCTCAGACACATGGCATGAAGCTATCA